GCATCCATTCCGATTCCGATTCCGATTCTCCTCATCCTCTTTCCTTTCCTCCCTCTCCCTCCACTCTCCCTCCCCCCTCTTTGTCCTCTTCCTCATCCTTCAGGGGGGACAAAAACACACAGACACCATTAATCGTCGACCCTCCAGAAAATATGGGAATATATGGGAAGTGGGGGGGAAGACGAAAACCCTGAAAATATGCGGAATTGTGGGGAGTCCTGTCATTTGTGTGCATGTATTTGTGTGTCCTGGGGCCCCTTCACCTCTGCCTCCCTTTCCTCCTCCCCCTCTCTGGCCGCCTCGGGCGGCGAAGGGGCCACAGGGTGGACCCCCCTGGTGCTCGGCGTGCTCCCCACCTCCCTCCTCCCATGTTCAACAAGGGCGCCCTCGAGGGCGCGAAATGATTCGCGCTTCGCGCTTCGCGGGCTCGGCTCCGATTCCTCCTCATCCTCCTCTTCTCCCCGGTGGGCGTCGCGAGAGCTCGAAGTTATCCGCGCTTCCCGCGCTGCGAAGCGAGAAGTTTGGCGCTCTTGTAGCCCCCCTCCTTCCCCCCGTGTTCAAGTTTTGCTTCGACGTCGCGCGAACCTAGGGGGGCGTCCACCTTTTTGTCATTCCACGGGAGGAATCCTCCTCCCCTTCTTGGTCCTCCCACCACTGCAATTGAAACGAAACGCCAACATACGACTTATCCGCCGCGCGCTCATCTTGTCAGAGCTAAGCTGCTTCACGCTTGCTGTCCACTCAACGTCGAATTCGCAGTCCGTCGGTACGATGTGTAAGATCATTCGTACCGAAGTCCTCCATGCTCAATTGTCGGTTCATGCTGGGCCAGTCTTTCTTCATCTCCGCCCGCACCAGGTGGTTCAGGAATGGCGGAATTGTCGTCACCATTTTCGCGCTGTTTCAGAGCCGTCCCCCTCCCACGTTTGCTGTGCGCACCTTCGCGATGCTCGGTGGACGAGGTCGATCAGGACCTGATGTATGAGGAGGATGCCTATCGAATCCGATTTCTTGCCCTGTTCTCTCTGCTTTACGTGTCGTTCGGACGTCGTTCCGCCCACCTGGTTGAGCTGGAGGGGAGGGCGCGCTGTATTTTATGTGGCCGATCATGTTCCAGGACGGCCACGCTTACCCTGCGTACGTGCAGAGGGAGAGGATATTCGAGCTCATGGTGCAGATGGAGGACGCGCCAGTGGGGAGTACGCATCTGCCCCACGGCTGCCAATAGGCCGCGGTCTGGTCGGCATGCTGGTGGTCTGACTGTGGTTAGCAAACTGGGAGGAGTGGGGCAACGTTAGGGGGATACACTCAGAGGGGGGATGCGTCGATCCCCAATCGCCCATCAATCGCCGATAGGGGTCCGAACGTGCATATCTTTTAGGAATGTGCGGATTCGCTATTGGGGGGCTATTGCCAATCTATCGGTGATGTTTTGCCGGTTCCAGCTCGATGTTTCCACCCCGCGCCGGTCTTTCCTTAACGTCGCCTCCCATCCAAGGGCTCTGCGCCCATCAAACCTGGAAGGAACGGGAGGGAAGGGAGGAGTGGAAGAAGTAAATGGTGTTCTTGTGTCTATGCGCCCAGCCCGCAGAACTACGGTCACACCACCGCGTGCATCCCTGTGGGCCGTATTTGTCCCCAGAATTGGTGCGGCCGCTTCTCTGTGCAGGGGCCCCGTCGTCGACTCGGCTGGATGTGGCCCGAAAGTTTGGCCAGGATGACGCACTTCCTTCTCCCCCTCTGTGTGCCGCACTGCACCGGAGCTCCATAAGCAGTTCGTTGGCCCTGCTTTACGCCAGGAGGGCCCTCCTCGACGCAGCTGGATCTGGCTTGAGAGTCTGTCCATGGTCCGGCCGCCGGCCCAAATCATGGGTCGGCCTTCTCAGAGCCACAGCCTGTTAGAGGGTTCGGAACACGGAGCCCTGACGGCGGCGACGATCGCGGCGGCGACGCGACCGCGAGGTCGAGACGGCGACCACGGCGACGGCGACGAATCTCGATGGCGACGAAAGCGGCGACAGTGAGGCCGACGACAAAGGCACTCGAAGTGCGCCAACGTCGTCCGACGACGTCCGACGACGACGAGCACCGACGTCGTCGTGTACCGGAATGCATCACATACCGGAATGCGCCCGCAAACTTTTTGTGCATTATACGTGTGGTGCAAGCTATAGATGGCAGCGAGGCGGCAACGTGCGGCAGTGTGGCGAAACCTCGCCAGACCCACCCACTGCACGAGGCCCCCGGTCCCCTCGGGCCCCTCTTTCCTCACCGCTCATCCCTCCGTCCTGCTTCTTCTTCTGACCTCCCTCCTCTCTCCGCCCCCCAGTCCTAGAGCATATCAATCTTCGAGACGGATATTGCACCTTCAGGTGAGATGTTCGTTGTCGTCGCCTCCGCCTCCTATGCTCCACCGTCCACTTTCCGCCCTACAACCGCCACCTTCCCTCTCATGTCAGTGTCCTGCCAATGCGTTGGTGGGCGCAGGCCACAGGGATCCCTACGCGCTTCCCGCACCAGTCGCACCTCTACAAAATCTTCGCCTCAAAGGCGCGGGGGGTACGAGTGATGGATGGAAGAGCGGAATGGACGGCGACGGCGATGACGACGATGATGACGACGACGATGACAATGATGATTGTGATAATGACGAAGACGATGCTGGTGATGACGACGACGATTATGATGATGATGTTGATGATGATGCTGATGATGGTGATGATTATGATTATGATGATGATGATTTTGATGATGATGGTGGTGGTGATGATGATGATGATGTTGATGCTGATGATGATGGTGATGATGGTGGTGATTGTGGTGGGGAGAGGGAAGAGGAAGTGGAGGGGGAGGAAGAGGAAAAGGAGGAGGAGGAAGAGGAGGAGGAAGAGGAGGAGGAGGAGGAGGACGAAGAGGAGAAACAGGAAGATTAATAGGAGAAGGTGGGCGACGCGAGTGGGGAGGAAGGGGTTGAGGACGCCCAGCAACCCGAAGTGGGAATATTCAACTCGAGGGAAGGACACTCCACGGCGTGGAATAGTCTGCTCGTCAAGGGAAACGTGGTGAGTGTAGCGAGGCGAAGCGATGAACATGGATTGAATGGGACGCCTCGCATCATTCCCTGTCTTTGACGGGCCCCCCCGCTCAGACCCCTTTCCCGCTCTTCTTTCGCAAACGGCGAGCCGCACTTGCTCCTTTCCCCGTGTTTCCCCACCCCATCCCCCCAGGCGGCTGCTCGAGGCGGCCAGCCCGGGCGGTGAAGGAGGGAAGGGTTCGGAGGAGGCTGCGGCAAACGAGGACGATGATGAGGAGAAGGAGGAGGAGGAGGACGAGGAGGAGGAGGAGGAGGAGGCGGAGGAGGAGGAGGAGGAGGAGGAGGAAGAGGACGATGAGGAGGAGGAGGAGGAGGAGGAGGAGGAGGAGGAGGAGGAGGAGGAGCAGGAGGAGGATGAAGAGGTGTTTGAACATAGTCGTGCGATTGGGTGAGGATGTTAGTTTGTCCGATACGCGTCGGGATCGATCTGCATGTTTGTCCGGTACCATTGGTATGTGGTACAATATTTCTTACTCCAAGGGGGAAGTATATCCTACCATATTCTCATGGTGGCGGAGCACGTGGTTCGCCCCACGTGTTCCCGCGCGCGCGGTTGAGTGCGCAAAGCAGTTGCTTCCCTGCGATGGCCGTGGCGGCGGCCGCAACGTTCCCGCCGAAGTCGGGTACAGCTGACCCGGGCTTTGTTGTGACGTTACCCAGTTTACGAGAGAGCTGGTCAACCCAAGCACGAACCAAGTCGCTAAACTTAGCGCCTGTTACGAGAATGGATATGTCAGGCGAGTTACCACCGCTTCACAGTCAACCGCGAAGGCATGAGGCTGTCTTTCGAGCGCAGCGCCGCATTCGGTACTTGACGAAGATGAGGCGTTCACGATGCTGCAGATGAGCTGCAAGATGAATGCCCTTCTGATGTCGGCCATCAGCCGCCACGGAACAGCTTAACATATTAAAGCAGCACGGTCGGACATAACCCCAACGCCAAGCGAACGCTTCAGAGCATGTTACCAATAACGCCGAGGCTATACAATCCGCTTGAAGCACGAAGGCCGTGGGAGGTGGAAATAAATCCGTCAACGAGTACAAGGCCGTCCAACAGATAGATACGTTTTCGGATGACCAGACACAGTTCGGGAAGCGGAGCAGGACACTGCAGAACGCGTTCGCCGAATTGAATCATGGTCATCGGAGAACTTGGAAACCTATGAACGACAATTTTGAAGTCATGAATGGGACGCTTCCTGATGACGCAAAAGGCGATTCGGTAAACGCGATACGAGGGTGATTAACCCTGAGCGTATACATCACAGCGTCAGTTATCAAGAGAGAAAAGGGCGACACTGAAGGAATATAGAGTTCGACGAAGACGATTACGCGAAGTTTGACGAGGATCCTTGTAATTGTTGAATGGCAATTTGAAAGGGGCGGAACCACGAGGAAAAGCAAGGGATTGCACGAGGGATATGGCCGAGTGACGCACAATAGTGTATACATGTCTATATCGATTGTATACTGCCGTTGCCAAAGTTACACTGTTGCGCGCAATGAACCTGGCCGCGAGCGTAGAAATACCCAAAAGGGTTAACGACGTGACGGCCCAGCTGGCGCAGTGGAGTGCGCTGCTAAAACCCGTTGGGAAGATTCAGGAAGCATGGGGGTGCATGCTCGATGCCTTTGCCGTTCAGGCTCGCTGCCCCGCGGATCGTCGTGGCCCGCGCAGGAGGTCGGTTCTGCGGCTGGCAACAGGACTGCTCCATGCGCCAGACTCGTTGGAAGAAGAAAAGACTTGACACTGGCGCGAAGAACGACGCCACCATGGATATAGGCCGAGTTAATGATGAAGATATTGGGGGTGGGGCACGAGCGTGAACGAGTCCCGCTAACATGGTGGAAGTTGAAGATGGCGGACTTGGAATGGGGAAGGCGTGGGTGGGAACGGCGGAACGGCGATGTGAGCGAAGTGGGACAAGGAAAGGGCACGGATGAAGGCCCATGTTCTACATGTGGAGGGCGCGGGCTCGTCGCCAAATGCAGCGCCATGAGAGGAACCTCCAAATGAAAAATGAGACGGGAGAGGGGCATGCAAAGGTGCCGGAGGTTGCCGAGGAGCACAGGTGGGGGGGGTGCAAAGGAGGGCGCCATGGCACCGGGGTTCCCCTCGGGGTTGCGTCAAGGGAGATTGCCAAGGGAACCGAACCCCAGGATGGAAAGAAGTAGGTGAGGGACGATTTGTGCCGATCAGTGAGAGGGGGTGCTGCAAATTCGGTGAAAAAGGGGTTACGTCGCAGCTCGCTGCCTCGAGCGCGCCAGAGAAGTCATCTCGGGTCAAGGGGGGCAGGGGGCGCTGGGGGGCCCGCGCAGATGATCGGGCAACCCTTGCGTGGAACAGGGTGCTCGAGTGTCGAAACGGGCGAAGCCATTGGAAGCAGCGGAGTTGCCGGCAACGGCCTAGCAAGAGAGCCAGTTACGCGGGCCCAGGTGTGGGGGGCGCAGTGACTGGTGACGAGGGGGAGGAGCCGGGGGGCCAGGTTTGGGAGGAAGCGTTCGCTGCGCGAGCGCGGCGGCGCCTGCGACCGCGCGCCGCGCGGGGCAGCGAAATTTCGGAGTGCGTTGAGCAGGGGGGAGGTTGGGCGCGCAAGGGCGCCGAGCTACAGTTGGTAGAGATGGAGGGCCCCAATTCAGAGGTAAACGAAGTGCCAGTGATGGGGGTGGGAGAATGGGATGGATGCGATTGTCGTTGCCGTGGGATCTGGAGTCTACAGCGCGGGCGGGCTTCCGAGCGCGGGAATTCACTTCCCCTTTTAACCGCGGTGGCCTCGAGGAGTGGCGCGCGCTGCGCTGCGGCCAATGGGCGATTTATGAGGGGGCATGGGCAATGAGTTATCATGGGCGACGTCAAGGCCAGTCGGGTCTGCGCGCGATGCGGTCGGAGCGGGGGGTCGCATAGTCTTAGATCGAGACAAGGATGGGCGATCCCGCAGTTGCATGGATCACGAGGCAACGGGGCAAGAGTCGACGATCCATGAGGAGAACGGGGGCTTCCAGTTCACCATCCCAGTCCCGAAAGGAGTGGCGAGTCAAGTGGGGGCGAGAAAGGTAGAGGAGGTCAGCGAGGAGAGGCGCGAGGGTTTTCCCGGGCAGGGAACTCTACTGAGTCCGGCTGAGCCCGTGAGTCTCAGTCGCGACACAGACGCATTGAATTCAGATGGCCATGAAGAAGATGGGGGCCCGGGCAGCGAGTTGAGTGAGGTTGAGGATGGGCCCATGGGGAACGAGGCCGAAATGCCTGGGCAGATCGCGCGCGACCAGAGGCCCAGCAAAGCAGAAGTTGAACACCCAGGCGGAACTCATTCTCCGCGCCGAAGCTGGCGACCCCAGTGCGCCAGAGGGAAGGCCGAGAGAAGGGCGCGCAAATGGAGGCTGGAACCGCGTAGTCAAGAAGTGCCGGCGATCTCGTTTGAGTACGTATGGTTGAGCGGCAAGGGGGGATATGTGGGAGATGGAAAGGACACCCCATTGTAGTCATGTGATGTCGGGGTGCCGAGTTAATTTGGAGCCGCGTTTCATCCAAGACGGAAGTCGGCCCTTTGTCAACCGGGTAGTCCGTGTTATGACTGTGTGCACGGGTCGCGGGAGTTCTTTTTGAGCGACAGTTAGTCGCCCGTTGCGGCATTTGAGGAGGCTGCCGAGGCATCGTGCGACCTAGACTTGGGAGTGGAGGTCGGCCCTGTCGATGCATCCCTAGCGAACGGTGAAGTAGGAAGGGCCGCAGGAACAGCCGGGTCAAATTTTGACGTTAAGGGGCGCTTTCGACGACCAGTGTAATGTGGAGTTCAGAGAGGAGCATGCGCTCGCACCTTGGTCAGTCGCTTGCGCGTCTTCGCTCGCCGACATGTGCGCGGTTGGCGCCGATGGAAATGCGCCCCGTGAAATGTGGCGATGGGGCTCGAATTCAACGCGGCGTTGCTTTCGTTTAGGGGGTGCGCCGCGCATCTGAAGGCCCCCCCTGAGGAGGGAGGCAGCGACTTGGAAGCCATATGGGGGAATGGAATATTTTTGGGGGTGCATGAAGCCAGCCGGAAGTTAATCATTGGCACTATGGGCGGCGTCATCGCATCCCATGAGTTCAGGCGCGAAGGGGGTGAGGGGTGGGTGGGGCCTGGGAGAGGTTGCTGACGTGAGAGGTTTACGCTGGCAACCAGATCCTAACGCGCCATGGATGTATGATAAAACTGGAGTGATCGTACTTATGGCCGTGTCTAGTCAAGGTCCGGCTGTTGACGCCAGGCCGACGTGGCGCGATGGGGTAGCGGTGAATGAGTCGGAGTGCACGGCTATGGGGTCTACGCCAGGGTAGTATGGCTGCGAAGCTATAGTCAGGGGAGCCGCCGCGCATGAACCGCGCAGCCATGAATGCCGAGACAATGTTGAGCGGCTCAAAGGAGTGGTCGGCGCCGGCTCAAATGCGCGTGACAATTTACGGCGCCAGGCTAGATTGCGATGGGTGCGGAATCATGCGTGGACAATTGGGTTCCCAAAGACGGTCTGGCAATCGCTCGGCGCCGTGGATCTATGGCAAAAATGCATGTACCAAGGACATATGGGGTCGCAGCTCTTAGGGTCGAAGACGCATTTACCTATATATTTATATGTTTTTGTTTATGTTTATGCATGTATATATATATATATATGTCTTCATTTACATATATTTATACATTCATATCTGGTATTTTACAGAACACGGGTGATATGGAGGGCGCGGCTTGCAATTTGGAAGATCATGTCGAAAATGAATTGCGAGGCCATTGGGCGGGGTGGATCGTCTTCCGGTTAACCTGCGGCGGCGATGGTGATGGGCACCCGACCAATCTCATTCCGCCGAGAGAGGACCAGAGAAGTGAGAGAGGGGACGTGCGAGGACGAGGGGACGCAGCCAGGGGGTCCATAAGTTGGAGGAAGCGAGGGGCCCAGTGGCGAGAGCGCGGGAGAAAATTGGCCCGAACAGGAGAGTGAAGAGCAAGGCAGCATGGATACTGAGGAGGTGCGCAGCATTATATATATAAACGTTGGCTCTGATGCGGATGTGGTGGGGTGGCTGCTCTGCGCAAATTCGGGTGTCATTGAATCGGTGAATGATATTAAGAGAGCAGTGGGGCTATGCGGCAGGGTTCAGCAGGTTGCGCAGGCGCGCACCAGTAAGGTCGACTCGCTAGTCCGAGTTACTGGCGTGGTGAAGAAGTTTGGGGCAGCCTCACCGTTAATTGTGAGTGCTAACAGGCTTGGGCCGGAACGCGTGGGGGCAATGCTTGATTATGGGTTAAGCATTTCAAGGTTGTATTGGGACAGTGTGAGGCTCAGAGAATCAAGAGGCACGCGTGCTAACGATCGTGTAATCACGGATGCGAGACACATCTGGTAGTTTTGAAGAAGCGCGCGAGGGCTGCGACAGACCAGCGAGCGTCCGCGACGAGGGTGTGGCTAATTTCAGCGCGGCTGTGTGAATGTAGCGTGCGGCTTCGATCTGACGGCGACTTCAATTTGACGGGAGAGGTATGCGAGGTTTCACTTGCGTGTTTTCTACTGCCGACCCCAGTTTTGAGCGAAACGCTTGGCCACTGCGCGCTTTTGGGGGCCCTTGTTGTTTGGTGTCTTTGGGGATTCTTGGGGGTCTGGTTGGAGCCTTTCTAAACGCTCTTGGTGCCCTGGGCTCTTTTGGGGGCTTTTCGGTGCTGTCTTGGCGGGGGGGCACGGGGCGGGGCGGGGGGGGTGGGGCGCAGTCGGTCGGACAGGGGGAAGGGGGGACTCGATCGGTCGGAAGGCGGGGGTGGAGGGGGCGGGGGTGGGGCCGCGGTCGCGCAGCGGGGGGGCGCGGTCGGTCGCAACAGAGGGAAGAGAGGGCCGCGGGACGGTCGGTCGGAATAGAGGCAGGGGGCCGCGGTCGGGCAGATGCGGGGGCCGGGGCGCTATCGGGCAGCAAAGGGGGGGCGCGGTCGGTCGGAGTACACGCGGAGAGTGGCGGGGCACGGTCGGTCGGAATAGAGGGGCAGGGGCGGGGGGTGGGGTGGGGGCCACGGTCGGGCAGCAATGGAGGGGGGCAGTCGGAATAATCAAAAAGCGGCGGGGGGAGACGGGCGATAGGGGCACAGACGGGCGGCGGGGGGGGGGGCGGTCGGTCGGAAGGGGAAGGGGGTCCCAGAACGGGGGCGGGGGGGGGCACGATCGGTCGGAATGGAAGGAAGGGGGGGCAGGGGGGGGGGCCACGGTTGGCCGGAATGAGGACAAAAGGGGGGGGGGGGGGGCACAGTCGGTCGGAGTAACAAAAGTGGGGCGGGGGGGAGGGGAGGGTGCCGCGGGGGGGTGGGCGGTCGGTCAGAACAAGGGGAGGTGTGCCACGGGGGTAGAAGGGGGGTCACGATCGGTCGGAATGAGGGGGCAGGGGCGTGGGGGGGGCACAGTCGGACAACGGGGGGGAACATTGTCGGTCGGTATAAAAGGTGAGAGGGCCACGGGGGAAAAAGGGACGGCGCGGTCGGTCGGAATGCAAAAAGGATGGGCGACGGGGGGAGGGGGCGGGGGGCCACGATCGGGAAACGAGGGGGTGGGGTACGGACGATCGGAATAAGGGGAGGGGGCCAGGTCGGCCGGAATAAGGGGAGGGGGGTGTGGGTTGAAGGGGAAAGTGGCAGGGGGGGGGCGGGTGGGCATGGTCGGGCAATGGGGGGCTGGACGGTCTGTCGGAATAGTGCGAAGTGGTCAGGGGGGAAAAAGGGGGATGGGTGGGGCACGGTCGGTCGGAATAAGGGGTTGTCGTCGTCGTCGTCGTCATCGTCGTCGTCGTCGTCGTCGTCGTCGCTGCCGCCGCCGCCGCCGCCGTCGTCGCGCGCTCTTCAGGAATGGACGGCGCAGATGTGCCTCCACCCTTTGTTGCACGTTCCGCTCACGACGCAGGCGCGCCCTCCTCTTTCCATTCGGTCGAGCGCTGCATGTCGTGTTGCGTTGGATCCTCCTTCTCTTTTTCCTCTCATCACTTTTCTTCCTCGTCCTTCTGCTCTCCTCCTCCTCGTCCTCCTCCTCCTTCTCCTCTTCACTGCCTCCCCATTCTGGCCTTCACCTTCTTCTCTCCCTCTCTTCCCTTCTGTCGTCCCGCCCCTTCTGCTCTACCCGCGCCCTTGTCCTCTCTCCTCCTTCGTCCTGCTCGGAATCGTCCTCCATCCTCAAGGGAGTTCTGGCAGCCTTCAGTGCTGCCCGCTTCAAGCAGCTGAAACGCACGGGAAACAAAGGCATGGCGGCCCTCTTGGGTACACTGAAAGGTTGGACTGGGAGCCACACCGGGCTCAGGAGGAACTCTGCCTGTCGGGCTGTTTCTTCGATGTAATGAGGTCGTGGGACCTATTCGTGGGCTGGCTCGTCGTTGCCAGGAGAGCCCCTTCGTTCCTCCTCTGGCGTCCCTCGTGGCAGCGCGATGACTGTAGGACGGTGGCGACTCCTTCCGGAACGCATGCGCTCCTCCATTCTGCCGCTCTGGGTGCCGGGGACACCAAGGGCAACCATAAGGGGGGGACGGCATAGGCGGGTAGGCATCGACCTCCAGTCGCTCATTGATCTTCGATAGGGGCCCGCGAGTCCCAGCCTGCCCAGGAACGCGCTGGGGGCCTGCCCGATTTATTGGCGATGTACCGCCGAGTCCAGGTCGATGTGTCCCCCCTAGCCGCTCCCCCCCTATCGCTGCCCCTCCCGCCCGCCCGGGACGAGGAGGAGAAGGAGGAGGAGGAGGAGGAGGCGGAGGCCGAGGAGGAGGAGGAGGAGGAGGAGGAGGAGGAGGAGGAGGAGGACAGCCCGCCCGCCCCAGGAGTGCAAGATCAGGCAAGATCTCTCCCCGTGGGCGGCCCGGACTCGACCCTTTCTGCCGCGGTGCGCTCGAGCCCGGCTGCCCGAGCTGGGACCCGCCTGTGCAGTCCGACTGGCACGCAATGAGCGGCTCGCCCTTCCTTCCCGCCCCCCGCTGTCCGGCCCGTTGCTCTTGGCGCCTCCGTTTGCTTTCGCAGCGCCCCTCCTGATGTGCTCGCAGATCAGAAACGTGCAACTCGACCGACCGCCCCATCTCGGGGGCGGCAAAGAGGGGGGTGATGACTAGGGGTGGGTGGGTATCATGGGGGGGGCCAGATGTTTCCCCAGATCTCATGGCGCCTCTTCTTATTCCACTACTTCCCTGGCCCCCCGCTGGGCCGCGCACATGCCGCCGGTCATGATTTGCACCCTCCCCTCTTGGACACCCCCCTCTTGGCCGCTCCCGATCGATTCGGGGCCCGCATGCCCCGCCAGATCCGACCGCCCAGCCCAGACGCATGCGCGTCGTATAGAGACCACGGCGGGAGCTTCATGATTTGCACCCTCCCCTCTCGGACACCCCCTTCTTGGCCGCTCCCGATCGATTGCCCGCGTCAGGTTCTGCCCAGCTGGCCCGTCTGACCGCCCGCCCGGCCCGGCCGTGCCCAGCCGTCGGACCTGGGTGGGGGTCCTCCGCGTGCGCCCGGCCGGCTCGCCCGACCTGCCCGACCCCCCGCCCGACTTGGGGTCCGTCCCCCCCTCGTCTTTCGGAGGCAAGCGAGGGTCAGGAGGGAAGAAAACACACAGACACAATGAATCGTCGATTCCCGAGAAAATATGGGAAGATATGGAATGTGGGGGAGAAGACAGAAACCCAGAAAATATGGGAAAATATGGGGAATCCTTTTATTTGTGTGTTTTTGTTAGTGTGTCCCAGGGCCCCTTCATTGGGGTCCGTTCCCCCCTCGTCTTTCGGCGGCGAGCGGGGCGGGGGGGAGTGCGAAGGAGAAGGCTTTCTCAGAAGGCGGCGGCACTTCTCAGAAGCCCTCGCCTTCTGAGAAGTTTTCCGTGTCTTCAAGGAAGGATCATGAATTTTCTCGGAAGGCTGGGGGACTTCCGAGCCTTTTGCGAAGGCCCGCCTCTTCTCACCTCCCCCCCGGGCTCGCCGCCGGGTCTTGGGCAATTTCTCAGGCCAGGGCCCTCTTGGGCCAGCTTGGGTCTCTCTTGGGGTCTCTTTTGAGTTCGTCCAGGGGCCCTCTTGGGGCTCTCGGTGGGCCCCTTTGGGGCCGACGGCCGCAATCGGAGCGACATTCGACCGAAGAGTGCAGAAAGCAAACCACACTGAAGCACGTACATACGCAGGCAGATCACGTTTTTTGGCCTCTCGAGCCCTCCTGGATATAGTCTTGGGGTGTCTTGGAGCCTCTCGGAGGCCTGTTGGAACCTACTGGGCGCCTCTTTGGGGGCTGCTGGGTGCCTCTTCAGGAACTGTTGGGGGCCATCTTGGAAGCCTTCTTGGTCTTCCTGGACCGTCTTGGACGCCCTGTGAGAGCTCGCGAGAGCCCCAGGAGGGCCTCGGGCCGCCCAGGGAGCTTCGAGAGGGAGGGAGGGACGACGCGCGAGGCGAGGAGGCGGAGGGCGGTCGCTTCGGAGACTTGCGCAAACCCCTCCATCGAAGACAGAGAAAGCGCCATAAGCATAGACCTTTCTGCGCTCCGCGCGGATTTCTTGGATCGGCGCTGAGCCCCCCCGCAGCGCCTCCAGCGCCGCCCCTGGCGCGCTCCGCGCGCCAGGGAGGGGGGTTCCAGCGAAGATCGAAGAAATCCGCGCGGAGCGCCAACCAGATTATGTTTATGGCGTTTTTTCAAGGGCGCCCTCGAGGGCGCGAAGTTATTCGCGCTTCGCGCTTCGCGGTTCGGCTCCGATTCCCCCTCATCCTCCTCTCCTCCCGTGGGAGGCGGCGCGAGAGCGCGAAGTTATTCGCACTTCGCGCTTCGCGCAGCGCGAAGCGCGAAGTTGGGAGCCCCTGTTTTTCTCTTCCTATTCCAGGCAGCAGCTGACATTCTGCCACGCCCCAGCGTGCCGTGCGGGCACGGAAGCGGCTGTGATGGGCACCTCGCGGCGCACGAGGATGGGCATCCACGTGGGCATCTTCGGGGCACTTCCACGACGGGTGGCGAGAGGGGGGGGGAAGCGAGAGGGAGACGACCTTCTCGGAATGCGGCGGCGAGCGGGGGGGGGGGCAGGAGTGCGAAGGAGAAGGCTTTCTCAGCAGGCGGCGGCACTTCTCAGAGGCCCTCGCCTCCTGAGAAGTTGTCTGTGTCTTCGGGGAAGGATCATCGCTTCCCCAGGAAATAGGGGAAACGGTGGGAGGTGGGGGGGCAGACAAAAGCCCAGAAAAGATGGGAAACAATGCGGAACAGTTTTATTTGTGTCTCAGGAGGCCAGGGGGCTTCCGAGCCTTCTGAGAAGGCCCGCCTCTTCCCGCTTCCTCCCCGCGCTCGCCGCTAACATGAGCAAGTGGACATCTTGATCGGGCAGCTGTTTGCGCGGGGGACGCGCAGGGGGAAATGGTTGGATACCTCACGAGCACGCCTTCTGCGAGTCGCCGCCCTCGCCCTGCCTTTTGGAAATGCCCATGTTGTGAAACGTTGAGCGAAAGTATGGCCACCTTACGGTCGGACCGAGGTAATTATAAGATCGAAGTCTGTTCGGGGAGGGTACCCCAGTGTTCTTCGTGCTTGTTGCATGCTCTTGAGCATCCTGGGGGAGGACACCCTCGAATGTTCTTCAGTTTGGTCGGCGGAGGGTCTCATGGTCTTGAAGAATGTTCGTCTGTCCCAGGTCCGACCGTCATGGAGTGTGTTCCCCCAGCTGTTGAGGCAACCGCTAGGGGATTACATGGGGATGAGCCCTCTTGGGCCATCTTAGGGGCTACTGGGCGGCTCTATTCGGGCCTTCGGGGCCTTCTTGGGGCCCTCCCAGGGCCCTCTTGGGCCCTCTTGGGGATCCCTCGGGCCGTCTGAGGGCGCTCTTGGGCCGTCTGGCGCCTTCTGAGACCGTCTTAGAGGCTCTGGGCCGTCTTGCGTTTTTTGGGGGTCCTGTAGGGCCGCCGCCTCGGGGCTGCATGGGGGACGTCGCGTGGACTTTTTTCGGCCGCCCTGAGGTGATCTTGGGCGCCTCCTGGGCCGTCTTGGACGCTCTTCAAACCGACAAGGGGGAAGTCCGAACATCATTGGAGCCTCTAAGGGCCGTAAATGATTCGCGCCTCTCGAGACTTTCCTGGAGCCGTCTCCGGGGCATCTGGGCTCGTCGTGAGGCCATTTTGGGGCCATCTTGGGCCTCATGGGACCGTTTTGGCCGTCTTGGAAGCGTCTTGGGAGGGTGCTGGCTACGATCTTGGATCTGTCTTGGAGCCAACCTGGACGGACACGCTCACAAGATGTATCTCATCGTTGGCGGGTTGCGCCCGAGGCCATTGGGAACTGTTTGGAAGGACCAACAGTCGTTTCATCCATGGCAGGCACCTCTGCGCATACTTGGTGGCCTCACGGAGACCTCTTGAGACTCCCCTGGAGACCTCCTGGAAGCCTCTTGGGAGCCTCTGGGTGCCTCGTGGGCGCCTCTCGGGGGAGGCGGTCTCGGGGGCCATCTGGGTTTGGAGGGCCCCAGAGGCCACTCTGAGTTTCGTTTCTCCTCTTGGGCCCCTCTTGGTCCCCTTTTGGGGGCCTTCTTGAGGGGGCCTCTGGGGCTTCTCCTGGGGGCTTTTGTCCGTCTTGGGCGATCTCAGGGGCCTCTTGGGCCGCCTTGGACGCTCTTGAAGCCGAAAGGCGAACACGTGACAATCATACGCTTCCCCTCCCTACCCATCCCTCCCTGCCTCCCTTCCATTCTCCCCTCCCCTCCCTTCCTCCCTCACTTCCCCTCCCTTCCCCTCCCCACGCCTCCTTCGCTCCCTCCATGTCCCTCTCCCTGTCTTCACCCTCCCCCCCTCTCCTCCCTCCCTCCCTCCCTGCTCCCTCTCTCCTCGTCCCACTTCCCTCCCTCTCACCTCGCCCTCCCCCTGCCCTTCCCCCCCCCGCCCCCCCCTCCCGCCCTTTCCCCCCGAGGTGTCCCGGCAG